CGCGACCAGGGCACGCCCCCACTGTCCACTGTCCAGCTGCTAGAGGTCAGCGTCCTGGATGAGAACGACAACTCGCCCAAGTTCCAAAAGGCGCTCTACGTCACCGACCTGGAGGAGAATTGTCAGCTGGGGACGTCCGTCATCAAGGTGATTAGGCGTCAAAGTCTCTCAAAACATGTTATACAACTAAACTTGTCCTAGACGCCCATTTTCAAGGAGGAAAGTGCTTTTCCTAGATGGGTGGACGTCTTGGAAATTATCGTTATAATACGTATTGGAAATTTTTATTTACTCTAAGAAAAAAAAAAGCAAAGTGGTTGGGGGGGGGGGGTGGAGGTATGGAGGTGGAGTGGGAGGTGGTTGTAAACATAGATGGTTGACTTAGACAGGTTGTCGCTAGAGAAGGTTTGACTGTACACATTTCATCGTTGCGCCTTGTCCGTCCAGGTGGTGGCCACGGACGACGACTCAGGCCCCAACCAGCAGCTGACCTACAGCATCAAGGCCGGGAACGAGAACAACACGTTCGCCATCGACGCCGACTCCGGCCAGATCACCACTCGGAACTCGGTGGTGGACAGGGAGAAGATCGCTCTCTACAACCTGGAGGTGCAGGCCCTGGACGCGGTGAGTGCTTGTTGTGCTGTTAACCCTTTCACTACTAAGCCTATTTTATAATGCTTCCACAGAGTACAAGATTGTATCGTGGCTGGCAATGTTTGCTCATGCCTTTTAAAGGAAAAGTTAAAGAACTGCCTCTGGCTTTAGCAGAGCCAGGTATAGTAATTTTAAAAAAAATATTTTATGCTTCTCTATTCAGTGTTTCTCAAGACACTAAGATATTAATAAATAATTACCTATTTTTGTTTCAAATGCCGTTAAACTCCAACTAAAACTAAAGCGTTCCTCACACTGTGTTTTTATAATGGTTTGCTTTTCAGTTCAATGTTTCTACTATATTATTATGCTGTTCTTTCAATGCTTCTCATACCGTGTCGTTCACAGGGAACACCTACTAGGAAGTCCGCCACAACCACCGTGCGTGTGAGCATCACCGACAAGAACGACCACTCTCCGGTATTCACCGGTTCCCGTAGTGTAGCCGTTCCCGAAGACCTTCCCATCGGCTCTCTTATCCTGCAACTGACCACAGCGGATTTGGACATTGGCGATAACGCGCGTGTCTCATTCGCCTTCGTGGATGCTTCTGATATCCCTTTCGAAGTGGACCCTGCTAGTGGGAACATCACAAATGTAGCCAAGTTGGACGCAGAACTTCAGAACCGCTACCAGCCCTCTGTCACGGCCACTGATGGCGCCTTTCTGAAACCCACCCGGTTGACCATTACCCTGCTGGACGTCAATGACAACGCTCCCCAGTTCCAGTTCCCTCATCTTGAGTTCAATTTCACAGAACTCCAAAGACCAAATGCACGCGTTGGCGTTTTGACGGCGTTGGATCTGGATATCTCCAGTCCGAATAACAAGTTCTTCTTCTCGCTAAAGAGGCCGTCGTCTTTATTCGAGCTTAACGCTAAGACTGGAGAAATTCTCGCCTTGGAGACTATGAGGTATTTGGGTGGAGGCGTGGATACCGGGAGTGGTGATTCTGTCAATCATCACGTTTTGGATGTTGTAGTGACAGATCTGGGCGTTCCCTCCCTGTCCTCTCACGCCACAGTACTGGTCAGAGTCATGGACGCCAATGACCACGCCCCAGAATTTGAAGAAGCCACATATTTCTCAGCTGTACCGGACACCCTACCCACATCAGGTGTGATTTTAAGAGTGGCCGCGCGGGACGAAATGGACTACGGCAAAAATGCTGAAGTCTTGTACAGCATTGAGAGAGGAAGTGGAAGAAATTTCTTCAAAATCGACGCCAGCTCTGGGGATATCACACCAAAGACCTCGCTGTCTGGTAAAGTAGGTCAAAGCTACTCGCTGACCGTGAAAGCAACAGATCGAGGAAACCCCCCTATGTCTTCAACAGCTACGGTTGACCTTGTGGTGACAGAGGTCAATGCGAACACACCGGTTTTCACCACCAGGCAGTTTCACACGTCTCTGAGGGAAGATGCCAGACCTGGCTCTAGTGTAGCCACAATCACAGCTAACGATAGAGACCTCGGCATTAACGGGGAAATCGTGTACCTCATTACGACTGGTAATGAGAAAAATCTTTTTGCGATCGATCCAAGCACTGGTGAACTTACTGTGGAAGGGGAACTGGACTACGAGAAGCAAACGTCCTACACGATTACTGTCGTGGCTCGGGATAAAGGTCACTTCTACAGAGAAGACTCGCGTCTGTATACGATAAATATCACTGATGTGAACGACAACAAGCCAGAGTTTGACCGTGAGTACTATGACGCTTATATCGTGGAGAACTCTGGCCCCTTCACGCCGATCTTCACCCTCACTGCCAAAGACGCCGACACTTTGCCAAGCAACAAAGAAATCAAATACTCTATTGTGGGCGATTCAAACTCCAAGAATTTCTTCCGTATAAACCAAGATTCGGGACAGATAACTTCCGCGAATACGGTATTTGATTACGAGCAGCACACACTGTATACTCTCCTCGTCATGGCGTTTAACCCAAATCCAGACAGCGCTAGTTCGAACCTCATGAAGTCTGTCACAACCGTGTACGTCCACGTGACTGGTGAGAATGAAGACAGTCCTCACTTTGTGAGGAAAGCTTACAACTTCCAGATCAGCGAGGCTGCGGACGTGGGTACTTCAGTGGGCCGAGTCTCCGCCAGAGACGACGATAAGGGCGTGGACGGAGTTGTCTACTACTATCTAGAAGGTTCCAGCAATTTGATGGGTCTCAGTCTGGAGCCGACGTCCGGAGTCCTTCGCGTGGCCGACGTTCTGGACTTCGAGACGCGTCCGAATCTGATGTTGACAGTCATAGCGAAGAACTGGGGCAGCGTCCGCGCCAACAACACAGACACCTGCACTGTGAACGTCACTGTGACGGACGCCAATGACCCACCCAGATTCACGGAGCGCATCTACACCGCGCGCATCCCGGAGAACTCGAGCGGGTGAGTGGTGCCTCCCATGTTTTTGTTTTATGTTTTGTTTTGTGGGGGTTTTTAAAACTTTTATTTTATCTTTTTAAATGTAATTAAATTTTATGTTCTTTTATC